ACAAAAGCAGAATCTAGTCAAACTAGAGAAGATGACATCAACATATGTATCAATGCAGTTTTCACAAACTTGAAAGTATCTTCAAATAGAAAAGCACAAATTGCTGAGGAGACACTAAAAAAAAAAACCAAGTTATGCAGACTTTAGCAGACTGCACCAGGAAAGGTTGGCCCAATGATAAGCGCCAGTCCCCAACAAGTGTTCAAGATTTTTGGAATGTTAGAAACCAACTTTCCATAGCTGAATAATCTTTAAAGGAAGCAAAATAGTCATCCCAGGAGTAATGCGAGAACTTATGTTACAAAAGATACACGAAGGACACTTGGGCATTGAGAAATGTAAAGTCGTGCTCCTGAGGTTATGTACTGGCCGAGAATCAATGAAGACATAGCACAGATGGTCCAGAGATGCTGTTCATGTCTACTCCATAAGCTGTAACAACAAATAGAAACACTTCAACCTCACAATGTTCCAAACAAAGCGTGGGAGAAAGTCGCATCAGACTTGTTTACATTAAACAAGAATCATGTTGTAACTGTTGACTACTTTTCCCAGTATATTGAAGTGAGTACATTGAGTACAATGTCAAGTAAATCCGTAATTCACAGTCTGAGGTCAATCTTTGCCCGACATGGAACGCCATGTGAGATTGTTACCGATAACGGAACACACAAAGAATGGGAAGGATGGGACTTCATCCATTTGACATCAAGTCCACATTACCCAAGGTCAAATGGTCTTGCGGAAAATGCTGTGAAGATTGTAAAGAATATCACGTGAAAAGCAATCAACAGTAACCAAGATGTAATAGAGTCCTACAGATCTATCGTAGTTCACCGCTGAAATGCGGAAAGTCACCTGCCAAGTTGTTATACAACAGGCGAATCAGATCAAATTGCCAACACCAAGGTGTTTAATAGAACCACAAGCGCCTATTAATAAGAAAGTGCAACAGCACAATTCCAGAGTGAAGGAAAGGCAGAAATAATACCATGATCAGCATGCATGTGATCTACCACCACTGAACAGAGGTGATCAAGTCCGAATTCAGGATACCATCACAAACAAGTGGTCACATAATGGAGTTGTATTGGATCTATTGCCTAATAGATAATACACGTTAAAAATAGATAACGGAGATGTTCGTCGTAGAAACACACATCACATTAGACGGGTCCCAAAGTACAATGCTCATCTGTCGGAACCATTCAACCAATCATTAATTCAAAAACAACAAGTAATTCACAATGGACACTCCAAACCAATCACCAATCCAAGGAGAAGTCGACGATTCAACATATCACCAAAGTGACTAGATTTATAAAGTACTGAGGTGCTAGCTTTGTTGCGTGCTAATGTTAAAGTTTTTGGTTTAACAGTTAAAGTTTAATAATGTCTGTCTCTTATACACATCTAGATGTGTATAAGAGACAGCTCTTATCTAGGGTGATATTATAATAGCTGTCTCTTATACACATCTAGATGTGTATAAGAGACAGATTAAATCAGATATAAACAACATAACAATAATAGAAAACTATTCTTTAAAATAAAGTGATGAGTTGATAATAAATAATGATAGCGCCCTCTGTCGAGTCCGCAAGCATACTGGGCTTTTCATACAACCATGGACCTTATTAATAGGTCCATGAAACAACATAGAGTCCGTGTACATTTACTATATTTAAACACATTAAATCACTCGAGTTTAATTAATCTGTGTCTGCCTACATAATCAGTGATTACCTCAAATTCTGTGTTTAGGCATAGGTTGGAGGTAAGCTCTCTTTCTGGAGTTACGCTCTAGTTCTCTTTATGCTAGCCATGAAGATGAAAAGTGTAATTGATTGGCTTACAGTAAACCTTCAATCTAGCGTAATATAGAAACATTTAAACTCCATCTAATTTAACGAATACAATAAATATACTTAATTAGGCCAATTTTTAATAATAAAGTTCTCTGAAGGTTAAATAGAGAATAATATTGACAGTACACTGTAGTCAATGTGTTATACGTTGTAAAAACTGTATTGAATAAAAAAAAATCCTTCGCTTGACATTAGGCTGAAACAAAATTATAGGCTATGTCAAGTATTATATTGAGCAGTGGCGGATCCAAGGGGAAGCCCAGTCAGCACGAACCCCCAACCTCCTAATTTTCAAAATTATATAACAAAAATTGAGAAAACAGACAAAATTGTATTCAACTTTTAATCTGAACGTGCCATTTCCAAGTGGCGGATCTAGGGGGTGAATAGGGTGGCTAGCCACCCCTCTTCGTTGGCCGTGAACAAATGGATACTCGTCTTGTGTGTGTGCTTCTCATGTATATGTGTTAGTCTACTTGTAGGCTACTCTGGTAAAACATACACTTTCTATTTTCAGATGTCATCTAAGCGCGTCTAACCGTCTACTAATTCAAAAAAAAAAAAAAAAAAAAAAAATCTCAAAAGAAAGGGGACGCCCCTCCCAAAACCCATGGGCACAGATCACAAGGGACAAAACCCCACATATTTTTAGAGTGGGTGGTTGGGGAAGTGGGTGGTCCTATTATTTTTCATCCGCAATGTAATAATTTCGTAAGTCAAGTAGATGCCTGAAATTGTTGAAATGACTGCATAAATGACCCAGGTTTTAAGAGCGCTGTACAACCGTTATCTCTGCCCACAGATACGTATAATACACGACTCAGGGGCGCGTGCCTTTATTATAATTTGAGAAGTATGAGCAAAAGCGTGTGATAATAATACTAGTTTATAATAGTATTAGGATTGGTTTCAACGGCACATGAATTCGGTAAAGTAAATTAAATACCTCAAAGACAACTTAATTTCATTTTGTATGGAACATCACAGCTATTAATTAAATCGATGATGATGAATTATAATAGTGTCAAGCAATAGAGGTACGTAATTTTCCCAAGTCGGCCCCAACTAAGGATGTGGACTCACGGCTTTGAAGTTGGTAGGCTTAAAGTAAGTATACCTAAAATACAATGTTTTAAAGTTTCACTGTCTATGATGCATCACACATGGTAATCTCTATGGTTGCCGAAAATGGCTGGTAAAACATTACAAATTTGTTGGCCGGTGAGTGAGTCAAATGGCCGAGCGGTTAAGGCAGGGGCACCGTCATCATAGCCAACAATACCGGCACAGGTTCGCGGCCGGCTCGCTACTATAGTTCTGGTGGTGGAACAAGTTTTCTCGGAAAAGGACTATAAACCGTAGGCCCAGTGTACACAGATGCTCATGTGCACTTTAAAGAACCCAGTACCTCTTTCGAGATGAGTAGGGGGTTACCCCGGTGTACTGGTTCATTTGGCCCCTGTCGTGGATAGATGAAAGTGCGCCAGTTTACTGGCTGCGGTGGACATGAAGTGACTCTCAGGGGAGGAGAAAGTTATTGAAAGTGCAACATCTAGTCCCGAGCGCATAGAGAACCTCGTTTATCTGCGCTATATAAATCCATTATTATTATTATTATTATTGTCGTCGTCGTCCTTGTTGTTATTATTATCATGAAAAATGTGTTGCCGCTTCATTTTGTCGTACGGTGACGTGATAATGATGAATTTCCGGCCATAGGTAGGCCTACTATTTCCTAAAATATTCTCACCTGAGGCCCAACCATGGTGTCCCTGAGGTTTCAAAAAACCACATCTGCGCCCTTTGCCAAAACCACGTCAACCAAACCCCTTCTCCCTTAGTGCTTCGCACCTCGCATCCACCCCTCCCCCCCCCCCCGCCCATTGCTAAATCCTAGATAAGTCACTGTTCCGGCCATCTAGAGGTGCCATAATCAGTTTTTTTTTCTTACCTCAGTATCAACCGTTGTGAGGCTGAGGTGGGTGGACATTCCATTTTCCCAAGACCCTCCCTGGGTTCCCTCTGTGATGTTCAAATCACACAATATTGCAAGTTAACATACATAGCGCCCTCTGGAACAGGGAAGTTATTAAATAGTTCAGTAACAAATCGTTCAATGGACTCAAGCATGTTCTTGCCGTTCTGTTTACACAACATAGTAATAATTATCAAAGAACATAACATTGGCGACGAGTGCTACAGTACTGCTACAAAACATCCTCAGAACGGATTGTACGAGTATTGTGAGTATTAGCGATCGTTAAAACCAATAATTAAGCGTCAAACATGGCTGGTAACGACGGTCTTTCTCGAATCATTCCGATCTTCGACCCCGACGATGACGGTGCTAACACAACTGCCGTCAGATGGGAAAAGTGGCTAGCCCGGCTTGAAACTTATTTCATAGCTAAGGATATAAACAAGGACGAAAAGAAAAAGGCCCAACTCCTGTTACTTGCAGGACCCAAAGTTTATGACATATATGACACACTGGCGGAATCCACTGACAAGTATAAACAAGCTATGGACAAATTATCAGACCATTTTAGGCCAATGAAAGATACAGCAATGGCTGTTTTTCTCTTCAGAGAGTGCACCCAGTTGCATGATGAGACGGTAGACCAATTCGTAACACGTCTAAAATGCATGATTAAACATTGCGAGTTTACAGATACACAGGCTGAAATACGTGCACAGATACTACAAAAAACAGTCAACACAAAGCTTAGACGTGAAGTACTCAAGCACCCAGCTTGGACCTTAGAAGCAGTACTCAAGGAAGCTAGGGCACTTGAAACATCAGAAGCTCAAGCTAGTGCAATCGAAAATAAAGGCAAGGAAACTGTTCAAAAACTCAGACATTCAGTAGTGAAGCCAAGGAAAGCTGCCTACAGTTGAAAGCGAACTGTACAGCGAAGCCCTAATAATACTCAGAGTAATTCCAAATGCAGAAATTGTGGTGGAAATTGGCCTCACACAGGAAACAATACCTGTCCAGCAAGAGGAAAAACTGTGGAGCATGTGGCAAGTTAAACCACTTTGCGATGTACTGTAGAAGTAAACCCACCAAAGCATTCAATAGAGCACCTGCTCGATTAACTGTGACAATAGCAAAAGGCGAATCCTGTGAGGATGAAGAAGTATATCTATATTCAGTTCAGCACACTACCGCACTTCACAGTCCAAATTGACAGTGACAGCATCGTCATGATGGCAGATTCTGGTTCTAGTATCAACATTATCGATGAAAAGGACTATCAACGTATGAAACACAAACCCACTCTAATCCAGTCTAATCTCAACATTTTTCCATACAGTGCAGTTCAAACTTTGCACATTCTTGGAAAGTTCACGACAACTGTTACAAGTCACTCATAGCAATGTCATACAACCTTTTATGTTGTCAAAGGTGATGGTGGATCACTTTTTCGTTGGAAAACTTCTCAACAACTGAATTTAATCCAACCTACCTGTAGTGTGCACATAGTAGAGAACTTTACAGACAAGTTAATAAACGAATTCAGTGACATATTATGTGGTGTTGGGAAACTCAAGGACTATCAGGTACATCTTCATATTGATGAGACAGTGATCCCAGTAGCTCAAGGTACTCGCAGAGTTCCATTTCATGTCCGGAAAGATCTTGAGGAACAATTGGCACGTGATGAAGAACTTGGCATCATTGAGTAAAAGAAATGGACCAACACCTTGGGTATCGCCAGTTTAGTCCCCCAAAAAACACAAGGAAAAGCTGGAGTGTGTGTTGATATGCGGCAACCAAACACTGCTATTAAAAGAGAACGACACATAACTCCAACCATTAGTGAAATGATACATGAGCTAAACGGAGCTACAGTTTTCAGTAAGTTGGACCTGAACCATGGATATAACCAGATAGAACTGGCACCGGAATCTCGATACATCACATGTTTTTCAACACATATCGGACTTCGTCGATATAAACGCCTAAACTTTGGCATTAATAGTGCAACGGAAATCTTCAAGGCGTGATCAATATAAGCGATGACATATTGATTTACGGAAAGATTCAAGATGATCACAACAACAGCCTTTGATCTGTCTTACAACGCCTTCGTGAAAAGAGACTAACATTGAACTCTGGAAAATGTGCATACAACAAACACACTCTTGAATTCTTTGGTCACGTCTTCTCCAAAGAAGGACTTGCTCCTGATCCGAAAAAAAAAAATCCAAGCTGTTGTTCAGATGGACAAACCCCAAAGTGCATCAGAAGTACGTAGTCTATTGGGAATGGCAAGCTACTGCGGTTCACGCTTTATCCAAAGATATGCTACTCTAACTCAACCACTTCGCGAACTAACGCGAAAGGATGTTCCGTGGAAATGGACTGACAGGCATGATCAAACCCTAGTCGCTCTACAAGATGCACTGGTACATGCACCTGTTCTAAAATATTTAAATTCACACTACGATACTCAACTGTATGTTGATGCCAGCACGGTTGGACTTGGAGCCCCACTAATGCAAGTAGACCCTGCTGATCCTCAAACTCACCATGTTGTAGCATATGCAAGCAGAGCCCTCTCGCAAGTTCAGCAGAGATATTCACAAACAGAGCGAGAAAGTCTTGCAGTTATTTGGGCTTGTAAACATTTTCACATATACATCTATGGAAAACCAATCACCATCATCACCCATCATAAGCCATTAGTATCTATCTATGGGAATCCAAACTCTACTCCTCCTCTAAGAGTTGAAAAATGGGCAATAAGACTTTAGCCTTATCATGCTAAGGTCATTTATCGTTCTGGACCAGATAACCCAGCTGATTACATATCTAGACACCCGTACAAGGCCCAAGTGAAAACGAGCCGAGAGGAGAAAATAGCCGAAGAATACATAAACTACATAACAGCCACATCCACCCCTAAAGCAATCACCATAGAGGAAATAGAATTAGCAACAGAAGAAGATGAAACGCTGAAAGCTGTTATGCAAGTAACAAAATCCGGAAAATGGTATCGCGGACATACAAACCCGTTAGTGAACTCACAGTTCTATACCCACTGTGAAAAAGTGAAACACGAATTAGCCGTTTGTGGCAATGGAAAACTGGTGCTACGTGGACACCGAATTGTAATACCAGAAATGTTGCAGGATCGTGCGGTTCGCATTGGTCATGAAGGTCATATGGACATTGCAAAGACGAAAGCTCTACTTCGTGAGAAAATTTGGTTTCCAAGGCTAGACAAAGCAGTTGAACACGTTGTTAAAAGTTGTATCCAATGTTAGGCAGCAACAGACATACGTCACCTAGCCAAGAACCCCTACTAATGTCCAAGCTACCAACAGGTCTATGGAAGGAGTTAAGCATTGATTTTGCTGAATTGCCTTCAGCATATCTTCTCGTCATAATCGACGACTATTCTCGATTTCCTGTAGGAGAAGTCATCAAATCAGTTAGTGCTGCAACTGTCATTCCAAGAATTGATAAGATCTTTTCCGAATTTGGTGTACCAAATGTGCTAAAATCCGATAATGGATCACCATTCAACAGTAGAGATTTCCAGCTTTTCGCTACTAATGATCTAGGTTTCAACATCGTAAAACCACACCATACTGGCCAAGGGCGAATGGCGAGGCAGAACGCTTAATGAAGACCATCAAGAAAGTCATCAAGGCTTCCATAGCAACAGGTAAAAATTGGAAACAAGAAATGTTCAGATTTCTTCGCAACTATCGTGCATCACCACACTCAAGTACTAATTACCGTACCACAGCAACCGCATTGTTCTCTATACCGTTACACCTTAAACTGCCAGAGGTTGTCACGACACCAGAGGACACAGAAATGTGTACGAAAGATGAAATAGCAAAGAAAAAGATGAAAATGCAGGCTGATAGCAAATCGTATGTTCAGCCGTCTTCATTGAAAGAAGGAGATGTGGTATTGGTTATTAAACGCACTTGTAGAAAGAGAAAGATGGAGACACCTTATGACCCTCAACCACATGTCATCACAAAGAAAAAGGGTTCGATGATCACAGCAGCAAGTGGTGATCACTTTGTAACACGAAATTCATCGTTCGTCAAGATTGGAGATCAGTGTGAATCAACAACTGGAGCTGAAAAGAGAGATATTAGTTTTGCTGAAGATGAAGCTGAGTCACCAATGCGGAATAGGAAGCGTCCAGTTTATCTTCAAGACTATGTAACTCATGTTGATTGAACCTTCAACATTGTCATGAATGAATGAACACTGATCGATATCTTGATTGCGTTGATTGAACTTTAAATACTGTACATCATGAGCTGATACTGATCAATAGTTGATTGTGATTTCATTTTATTGAACTGGGAATGAATACTTACCAATAAGTTTTATTGTGTTTACAGAACCTGTTGTTTTGAAAGAACATTGATTCAATAGTAATTTTATAGATTGATTGGATATTGCATGAAACGTTGTCATTAAAAAAAATATATTGTTTAAGAATTATAGTGACACAAGAATTATAACCATACTAATACAGATGTATTCATGCAGTTTTATTTTCAAACTATAATTTGTTTGAATTTTATTTTGCTTAAAAACGAATCATAACAATCAAAATAAAAATATTTCGAATTTAACAATGTTGTTCTATTATGTGTTAGGCAAAAAAAAAAATCAATATTCTTATGAAGAGATCTCACACAAAAGTCTTATTGATATTCATTGAACACAGTTAATCATAAATAATGGGGTATACTTTAATTTCAACAAAAGGAGGGATGTGATGTTCAAACAACACAGTATTGCAAGTTAACATACATAGCGCCCTCTGGAGCAGGGAAGTGAATAAATAGTTCAGTAACAAATCGTTCAATGGACTCAAGCATGTTCTTGTTGCTCTGTTTACACAACATAGTAATAATTATCAAAGAACATAACACCCTCTATTTCGAATTCATGGACCCCCCACAGCTGGAGTATCATTTCCGAACTACTATAGAAGGGTAATTTTCATACATCGGGGAAATAGTCAAGGCTCTGTCGGGGAATACCCATATCAAATATACCTTTCACGATAGCCTAAATAATTCATTGAAATCGTCAAAGCAATTTTCTTATCTCAGCCCCAACCATGGTGGGGCTAAGGTGGTATAGATCGTCCATCTGTGAATGTACCCCCTGCATCCCCTCTATTTCGAATTCCTGGATCCGCCACTGGAAATTGTAACAATTATGAAGTCATATTACAGTAGCTTGATGTCTCAATTAACTAATAAAATTCACCAAACTTCGTCAAATATCCGTAGCCTCTGTCACATGGAGACCTAATGTTATTGGTATACGTAGCACGTACTGTTATTCTCTACAGTATGGGGTGCCATACGCAGCAAAAGTCCATGTTAAAATGAAAATGTAATTGCAAAATTCAATGTCTAATTTATCAAAACGTAGGCATAAATTTCTCAAAATGTAGATCTAGTTTCCCAAAATGAAGTTCTAATTTTTCAAAACGTAGTTCAAATTTTTCAAAATGTAGTTCTAATTTCTTAAAAATGTAATTCAAATTCAAAACGTAGGTCTGACTTGATCAAATGCCCTCTCCAAATTCTATTCCAAATCGTAAATCAAAAACCAGGCTGGTTTGAAATGCATTTGACAACAACACTAGAAATGGACTTTTGCTGCGTATGGCACTAGACTTGCGAAATGTAAATCAAAACTAATCAGCCAAACATGACGTGGGCCTGTTCCATTAATGATGGGGGAATCATTTTTCGCCGCAGTCCAATGCCGTGAACAACGCTTCCCAGTGCGTCTTCTTAAAGGTCAGGGTACCGCGATCACGAGCCCTATGCTTGGCATTATAGGTTAGGCTTATGTGGGCTGGGTTTGCAACAAGGTCTTGGACTAGGCCTCTATACTATAGTAGGAGGCCTGGTCCTAGTCTAGGCCTATAATATAGTAAAATTCTTTATAAGTAGTCATATGATTACAGGTTTACATTGTACCAAGATCGATATTAACGATCGCATTTATTTTTCATTCAAAATAAAAAGAAAGCTTTAAATAATTTAAGTTAAGGATTTAAAAATATTCCAAACCTGTACGCTTAAAAAAAAATAAAATGAAAAATAAATAAATGAAGTTAACTTATGACACAAACAACGCGATAGGATATAAAATTTGAGAGAAGTTTTGGTATACTGTACTGTATTTCTGAAGTGCCATTCGTTTTGGGGTTGCTACAATCAGGCGTTACAATCGATCCAACAAATATAAAGTACTATCTATTTCCTTACATTCGAAAAAGGAGGATTTTGGATGCTATATTTAAATTTGCTGCAGATTGAAAAATTAACTGTTAACTCCGTTGTTAGAGAACATAGAGTGGTACATGACTTTCGGACTGGTATAGTCCTTCAGTAGGCCTATGTACTCTAGGTTTAAATAAATACAGAGAATAGGCCAATTTTAGTGAGAACTAAACATGTTTTAATAACGTAGGGCCTATATACAATGCAAAGCAGATTGATCACAAAATCAGAAGCATGATTTCAAACATCATGAACCCAGCTTTTATTGTTTAAAACTGTCGGGGCCCCATTGAATGAAACTACGGTATTATAGTTTATATTATATATATTTTTTAAAGTTTTTTTTTTGGAGGGGAAGTGTGCAGAGGGTGCGGACGCACCCCCCTCCCCCCCCAAAAAAAAAATTCCAAAAGGTACACTTTTTGAAACCTATGATTTCACAAAATCGTTCCTAATTATCACAAAATGTTATAGCATGCCTGAATGCATTATATATTTGCCAGCGTATCTAACCGTTGATTTTTAATAATGTGGCATGAAATTTGTTAGAAATTGATCGTCTTCGGTGATTGCAGATTGATCTACATAATATGAAGAATGTTATCTATAGGCATGCAGATGTACAGGACAAAATAACATTACTTTTTCAGGGAGAAGAGCCCCATAAAATTATAAAAGAAAATGGAGAAAAAAAAATCATAATTGTCTGAGAGTGCCATTTCCGGCCATTTTGAGGTGCCATAATCATAAATTTTCTCACCTCAGCTCCAATCATGGGGCTGAGGTGGTATTGACCATCTGTCTCAAGTTCCTCCTTTCACCCCCATCCTCTATTTTTCCTGCTTTTACTGTAGGTCCCTAGACAATACTTAAATGAATGAAAATTTAAATAGGATATTACAAATTATGGATTTTAGAAATCCATTAAAAAAGGCCCTCAAAATGATAATCTGTTAGAGCTTCCAGAAGATTCGCCCCACCCTCGCAGGGACCCCTAGGCAGTCGCCCATCGTAAGGTCCACTTCGGTTGCAAAACGCACCTCCCCATCGAAAATCCTGCCTACGGGCCTGCCTATACTAGGCATTATAGGCTAGGCTTTATGTGGGCTGGGATTTGCAACAAGGTCTTGGACTAGGCCTCTCTACTATAGTAGGAGGCCTGGTCCTAGTCTAGGCCTATAATATAGTAAAATTCTGTATAAGTAGTCATTATGATTAGGGTCAATATTAACGATCGCATTTATTTTTCATTGAAAATAAAAATAAAAAAAATACTTTAAAAAAAAGTTAACTTAAGGATTATAAAATATTCAAAAAAACTGTACACTTCAATAAAAAACAACGCGATAGGATATGAAGTTTGCGAGAATAATTGGTATACTTGTACTGTATTTTCTGAAGCACCGTTCGTTTTTGGGGTTGCTACAATCAGCAGTTGTTACATCAGTGGCGTCTCGGGCGCTGACGGAGGGGAGAGAGGAACGCCAGGGCCCCAAGTGCGAGGGCCTCCCCCTCCCCACCCCCGACATTGTTTAAACAAAATATAATATAAACTATAATACCGTAGTTTCATTCAATGGGGCCCGACAGTTTTAAACAATAAAAGCTAGGTTCTGATGTTTGAGATCATGCTTCTGCTTTTGTGATCAATCTGTTTTGCAGATTGATCACACAGTTAATTTTTCAATCTCCAGCAAATTTTAAATAGCATCCAAAATCCTCCTTTTTGGAATGTAAGGAAATAGATAGTGCTTTTCCTTTGTTTGATCGATTGTAACTCCTGATTGTAGCAACCCTAAAACAATAATAATAATAATAATAATAATAATTTTGCGCATTATGCTAAAGCCTCAATGCGCTTAACAGTAAAAATTAAATTCGGGGAAAAAAAAAAAAAAAAAAATTCAGAAAAATACAAGTTAAAAAGGTGAGTTTTTAAAGCTGCCTTAAAAACGAATGGCACTTCAGAAATACAGTACAGT